GTTCAATGACCACAAGACAAGACGAATCAAGATTTTGAAGAAGATGGACAATTACACTTCCTTCACATATGGAGATTTTTTATATCTTCAATATTGATGATTTGCTGGAGGCAATGAACAAAAATTCAACCGCCTTGCCACTTAGGTGGCCTTTTTTCAAAAAACGCCTAGTCATGGGCACCTATGCGCCGCCTCGACCCTTGGTGGGGACAAAAATAAAAATAAAAAAATAAAAAAACTTGAGAAACATGTAAAATTGTAATTTTACTCCTTTAAAAGGGGAGAAAAGGGTTTTGGGGGGGCATTCTTGCCCCAAAAAACATTTTTAGTGAAGTTTAAGTGAGAAACAACTTGATAAAAACTAGATTTGAAGATTTGTTGAGAGATCGAACCTTTTTTCGACCCCCTCGAACGGTCACAATATGAAACGATATTCATCCTCAATCTTTTTGAGGCTTATAAAAGCTGTAAAAGAGGAGATTTGGGAACCCAAACATTTCGGTTTGGCCCGATATCGAATCCACTTTACAAAGGTTAGTATATTTCAATAGTTTTTATTACGTTATGTATTTTTTTTTCCACAATGTCTAATGATGTTATTCTTCGCTTTGTGATATATATTTAATATGTTATTATCTATTTGAATTATTATTTGCCCATTTTGATATGCAGCTTGAGTCTTTGGGAAAACAATTCAATAAAAAAGTCCATTGCCCCCAAACCGAATGAATCTTGTTTTTTACTTCTTTTTTTTAGTTTTATACATGAATTTACTTGTATGATTCATAAACCACAATTTTTTTTTTATAAACTTTTGAACCGTTAGTGAATGACTTGTGATTTGCGAGATTTAAATGACATCTCGAGTTGATTTTATCTTTTAATGTTGCTTTTGAGTTATAATTATTTCAATTACAGTCTAATGTCGTAAATGTTTATGTCTGATCTGTATTTTCAATATCTTAACAATATATTATATACAAAACTTACTTATTAAATAAAAGAAGACAATTCTATATACAATAAAATGGGGGGAGTTGTGGGGGTCCAACTTTAAAATAAAAAAAGACAACACAAGCCGCCTTGGGTCTAGGCGGCTGCCTTAGCGCCTAGGCAGCCCGGACCCCAACCACCTAGGTGGCCACCTCTCATTTTTAACATTGGTTGGAGGATCGTAGGCCAATGAAGAACAAGAAGATCAAGCATTGCTTTGGGTGATTTTCTAGTTATTTTAGCGTGATTTCAATTATTATAAATTGGTTTATTTTCTGGACCAATTGGGGCCCATGGTCCACTTCGTTCATATGTGGTTTGGCCTTGGAGAGGCCGATGCCATCAAATAAGGGGATACCTGATACATGTCCATGGTATCTTGTGTTTCTTATGAAACAATTCTAAGGAGTCTAATGGTCATGATTGAGAAAGAAGAAACAAACATACATGGAGGAATCCACCTTCCTTAGTCACCAAAGTTCACTGTAAAGCAGTGTCTGGAACAACGCCAATCTATATTGGAATCGGCTGGTCCCCTACAGAACAGAATACTTCTTTGACATAACTGGTCGGTTATGTCAGGAAATTGGGCGACCTAGGAATGCTCAGCACGCTTATATTTGCTTTTTTCATTATTTTTCAATTTTTTATTAATTTTCTATTGACCATTCTCATTACGAGAGAAGGTAGAGTAACCCAACCCACCATGCAGAATAGGGTAGCCACGTCCCAGGTAAGTACGCTTTTCTTACCACCTAATAATATCTCACATGTGGGGACTAAATATACTTCATAAACACTTGCAATTTCTTCTCTTATATCAATTATCAAGGGCTACCAATTTAATCTCTTCCTCTCTCATGTGCATACCATTACAACCATTAGTACCAAATTAAACTCTCCCTCTATCGTGTGCATGCCATTACTACCGATTTAATCTCTCCCTCTCTCGTGTGCATGCCATTACTCCCTCTCTTGTGCATGTCATCACTAGGGTATGCATGTGTTTGGTAAATAATACAAGCTACAAACATGTCCATATGTTTTTTTTGGCAAATAATACTGGACAAATAAAGTAGTACCATTTATTGAGTCAAACGTCATAAGGAAATATTTATTAAAAACAACTAAAGTAGTCTCAAGGAATTATTTACCAAAGACACATAAAGTAGATTTCTATAACTGTCAATATAGCACAATAGCTAATAATTTTTAAATTAAATCTTAATGATTCGATATAATTATCATAATTATAATTAAATGAAATTATCATAATTATAATTAATGAAATTATAATTAATATTGTTATATGTACGATGGAGTGCTAATTAGTGTACAAACAACTAGTGGATAGACAAGTGAGTTTTCAGTGACAATACGTCTACATCAAGGGTCAACATTGAGCCCGTACCTCTTTGTCTTAGTTATAGATAACTTAACTAGGCACCTATAGGATGAAGCACCATGGTGCATGTTGTTCGCAAATGACATAGTTTGATCGATTAGACCCGAAAAGGCATCAACACAAAGTTAGAACTTTGGAACGATGCTCTAGAATCCAAACATTTTAAAATTAGCTAGACTAAGACAGTATATGAAATGCAAGTTTAGTAATAATAGGAGTAGAGACGAGGAAGTAGTTAAGATTGACGGCCAGAAAGTATAAAAAATGCCACACTTTCGATATCTTGAGTCAATAATATAGTAAAATTGAGAGATTGATGAAGATGTCGCATACAAAATTAGAGCTCGGTGGGCGAAGTAGAGATGTGCAATTGGAATATTATGTGATTGTTGCATACCAATGAAGCTGAAGGGCAAGTTCTATAGGATAGTTGTAAGACCAACTTTGCTTTATTGGGCTGAATGTTGGGCAAACAAAAAACAATATACCCATAGAATGACTGTAGCGGAGATGAGGATGTTGAGATGGATGAGTTGCAAGACAAGGGATAGAATTCGAAATGAATCCATTCGAGAGAATGTAAGTGTGGCACCAATAGGCAATAAGATGAGAGAGAGTAGACTTGGGTGAGTCTGACTATGTGTGGCACCGACCAAGTACAGCACCTGTTAGGAGGTGCGAGTTAGTTCAAGTGGAAGGACTTAAAAGGGCAAGGGGTAGGCCCAACAAGACGTGATTGGAAATAGTTAAGAAAGATATGGGGACTTATGGCCTCACTGAGGATATGACCTTTAATAGAGCAGAATGGCGAACCAGGATTTTTGTAGCCGGCCCCAATTAATTGAAAAAAGGTTATGCTGATGATGATGATAATTAATATTGTTATAGTAAATGATATATTTATTACATAATTTTAATCATGTTAATATTGTAAGAAAAATAATTTTTCATTTTGATATTCATAGATTTAGCAACCAGCGCCATATCTTTTAATGAGCATGATGTGCGTATGAGGGGACTCCAACTACCATCCATCAATGATCTATACTAGATCTACTTATCTTTTCTCTATATTAGAACAGAGTTATGAGGTGTATGTAGTTGTGGTGCACAATATATACGAGTGTCATTATGTGCAAGAATTCGAATTCCTAATCACTGTATTGATAAATGCTAACAATATAATTTCTTGATAATTGTATGGTCTTATAGATTCACTTTATTGCAATAAGTTGCATTTTGAACTTCATTTTGAATGTGAAATGAATGTAATGGTCAATAAACACTCAGACATAAAACAAGTTCTGTGTATTTACGTATTTTCTATAAAATAATAAAAATCCATAATGCAATAGCCCCTTGTTTTAGAAATCTAAAACCCTAGATTTTTAAGAAATTTTAGCAATTTCTTGAAATTCTTTTAAAACCTAACTAAACTGGCTGATCCACCAATCCAGATAGTTGATTCACCGATTTAGATCAATTTCCTATAGGAGAGATTCGCCAAGCCGAGCTGGTCTTCCAAACACTTCTCTAAAGGTGTCCAGGAAATAGTTGTTTCTAATTCAAATCGGCAAGTGAATTAAGAATCTTGGATCTACATCTAAAATCTGTTAAATCATGAGCCTGAAGCTCCAGCAAGGATATCCTTCTCCTTAAAAAACAACCTTAACTAAGAGAAATCGTTAGGGGTATGATATATTTCAAACACTTGCAAGATACTTTTTCTATGATTTCATAACATCCTCCGACAAATATATAGTCTCAAGAAATCCCTAATGGTAACCTTCCCTACCCTTTTATACAGTTGAATTCAATGAACTTCACGTTAACTCCATTACCATCCTACATTGACTATGAAGTTCAAGAACTTAACCTCAATTGTATCCTAGATAAAAAGAAACAATCAGGTTCATGGGCTTTGTCCTGAGCCATATTAAACACCAGCTCTTTAACTTCAGTTTCTGAAAAGGCTACCCTTACCCTGCACCTAGATGCTAGCTGCGACCAGGTCAATGGTCGAACCATTCATTGCATTAGATTGATAGGATCAATTTTCATGAAATGACAGTTAATAGCTTGCTTTGGAATACCAAAGAGCAAATGGTGAAGGTCAGAACATTTCGTCAAGCTTTTCACCTCTATGATAGCAAGTATTTGCATGAATAACTTGCACTCCACAAAACTTAAAATCACAAGCGAATAAAAATTAATTTATACGGAGCTCCTTATCTGAATTATAAGGTCCCAATTCAAATCATCAGATCAAGTAGTAAGAGAAAGAAAGATGGAAAGAGAACAGCACGCAACTAGAATAACATGGTAGAAAGAGATTACTGCATACTTTCCAAAAGGATGAGTGAATCCCCAACGGCCCACGGGGAGAGAAAAAACTAATGGTCCTACTATACAGAGATAAACAAATTAAGAAGAAAATAACCCATTCAAAAAAAAAATAAAGAGACATCAGCTATTCTTCAGCATTTACACATAACAGCTCATTCTAGAGAGCGAGAAACATCAAAAATAAAAACTGAAACGAAAATCGCCAGATTAAAGGGGGGAAACTAGGGTAGGGGAGAGAAAGAGAAAAAAAGCAGACCTGTTGCTGGTGGTTTTGATGGAAAGAAGAAGTGGGGTTGGAGAGAGGATGATGAGTTGTGGGAGTACGACGAAGGGAGTGGGCAGCGTCCTCGGCCACGTAATCCTTCACTCTGAACTCAACTACCATTTCTCTTATTCTCTAGTGGAGCTGATTTCAAAATTGCAAGGGCAGGCAACCGGGAGTTCTAAGATGCACTGCATTAGCAGCAAGGTTTTTAAAGCCCGCATGCCATAACAGAATTAAGAGCTGCTCCGCCTCCGTCCCACATGTTACATCGAATTGTTTAACCTTTGTTTACAAGAAGTGATGGTCTAGCGACCATTCTTTTTTAGGAAACGCGTATAGTGGGACCATTTATTTTTATTATAAAGTCCACAATTAATCTTGATATTGTATCTAAACGCGAGTACTGTATTTATTCTATTGACCAAACTCAGACTTTAAAAGAAACTTTTTCGAATTTTATGATACACCCATATAATCATTTCGAATTTTATGATACACCCATATAATCAGATATCACCTTGGATGGTTACTGGGTTTTATTAGGCTACACCACTTGTTTATATACCCTTAAAGTCATCATTTTTTATTTTACACTGGATGGTTACAAATAAGGGTGTTAGGCTCAACCACTTGTGTATCCTTAAAGTCCTCAATATATGCCCTTATACCCTTAAAGTCCTCAATATATACCCGTAAAGTCATTATTTTTGGATACTTAAATACTTTTCGATTCGAATATGAAATTTTTCAAGTAGGGGTATTTTTTGGTCATTTAGAAGGGTAGAATGGATATTTATATAAAATAGTGACATTCTATTAGTAGTTAAAAAACAATTAATTAATGCTTCTTGAGGGTGATGTCACACACCATATCGGTAATGTCATTGTCCAATATTGTTAATAAATACTTTTGTTTCTATTAAAAATTTCTATTTTACCCTTGATTAATTACTTAAAATACTCCTAGATAAAAAGTTACTACATTATATAAGGTATCTAAGTGTCCAAAAATGTTGATGACTTTAAGGGTATATGCCACAAGTGGTGCAGCCTAACAAAACCCTTGCGACCTTGTATGAAAGGTAAATGGTCCCATTGTATAAAATCTTTTTTTTTTATTACAAAGAGGTCAATATTTTCACTCATTAGATTTCAAATTAGATGGCGTAGGATGAATCACAAAGTTTAAGAATTTCCTTTTTTGAACGTTGTGTTAATTCAATAACATTTTTATAACTACTTATTTTGAAATTTAAGAGACAAGATTAATTGTAACCTTCTTGTACATAAGGTAAATTGTCTCAGTCTACTTTTCCTTAAAACTAAAAGGACAAAATTTATATAAGATTGACATAGAATTAAGTTGTACATATAAAATCCTTTAAAAAAGTTATTTGATACTGGAAAAACATCTAATTGATGATCTCGAGATTGAGATGTATAGATATGGGAAAAAAAAGTGATTTCAATTTTCAAGTTTTAAAAATAGTATATTTTATAACACATTATCTTAACCATCCATTTTCAAGATTTTCATACGTTCGTAGATCTATTGGACTTGAACTCTTTATGGAATTTAAGATTTTATAATTAGAGATAAAAAGAGATTTTTACACTATCCTAAGAATTTTCGACACATCTCATGAAAAAGTTTGGAGGTTCACCTTAATTTGATTGTTTAAGGTTGCAACCTTGTACAAACCTCACCCAGAAGAAAAAGGAGATGAAAAGGAAAACAAACATAAATATTTATTTTTTAAGGAATATTTAAAAAATGTCTCTGAAATTTATAATTTTTTTGTTTTTAAGTTTATTGCTTTCTCAAAATGTTGTGGTTTGTATAAGGCCGAGGCCATAAACCATAAAAGTAAGGCGTGCTTTCAAAAAGTGTCCAAATATGTTTCAATACTGGAAATCTTTATGATAGTCAGAAAATTTATTTTCATCTCTAATTATAAAATTTATAGCTTTAACAATAGTGCAGATCGATGAGATCTATGAACACTTGAGAATCTTAAAAGTTGGCAGTCCAAAAATGCATTACACTATGCACTATTTTCAAGACTTGAAATCTATTTTTTTTTAATGTAGTACATCTTGAGGTTGAGATGATCAATTTGAGGATTTTCAGACATTGAAGCAACCTCTTTGAGTAAATTTTTTAAATGCGTCTTAATTAGATTGTTTAGGGCCTTGCCCTTATATAAACGTTTTTGTTCTCAAAATGCCCTCAAGTTTTGTACTTAGAGTAACAGTAACAAACTAAGGTTGCAGCCTCAAAATTGTGAAAAAATATTGTTCAATACTAAGAGTATTGAACATTATTGGCTCAATGTAATATTTGGTTTTCTCAATACATGACAATTTCCTTTTTAAATAAAAAGTAGCTTGGTGCTCTTAACACCGAAAATTAATGTTTTTTCTTTCTTACGTAAGCCAATTCAGCACTCATAGTATCGAACTACTCCGGTTGGTCCACCCCACTTAAAACCTCATTTGTCCCCTGTTCATCTCTCACCATCACTCTACATGACCCTGGGCCTTCTTTGCTCTCTCGACAAATTAGAGAAATCTCTCTCTCTCAATCAAGGTCTAGATCCTTCAATTCTCTCTCTACAAAAGCCCTGTCCTTTTAGGTCTGCAAAGGCATCTCTCTCCAGTGTTTCCAACGCATCTTTTCTTTTCTTTCCTTTATTTTCTTTTTCTTTTATTTTTAATTGAAAATACCTATGAAATTTTCTCTAATTTGATGCTCATTAGGAGTGGCAATGGACCCGGACCCCGACCCAGGACCTGAGGGGTAGACCCGATCCAGATCCGGATATGGGTCCAAAAATAAGACCCGGCAGGTTGGTCCCGGTCCACGTACTGGTCTATCTGGACCCGACTCGTTGCCACCCACTTCCTTTTTCTTTTCTTTTCTTTTCTTTTCTTTTCTTTTTTTTTCCTCCCCTTTTCTTTGAGGAATTGATGGGGTCTTTTTCAACTGGACCTAAGTTATTTGTTTTTCTTTTGCATATATGTCTTCTTTTTACTTTATATGAACTTGTAAGTTTATTGCAAGTTTATAGGTTTGAGTCTGTTTTGATAAGCTACAAGCCTAATAGCTTTAGATTTTAGTTTTTTTTAGAAAGTTGCAATTTCGTGTGAGAAAATATATGCATACATATATGTATATGTAGGTTTATTTTGATACCTACATACAAAAATATACATGAACTTGCAAGTTTATTGCAATTTGATACATTTGTGTATGTGTGTGTTTGTTGTCAAGCGATTTAATCAAATTTTATAGGGATTTATTTTGAACTCGTATCAAATATCTTCTAAACAAACCCAAATTCCAATTATCTTATGACAATCATTTAATGCAACGAATAATAAATGTCATCGCCTCTCCCATATTATATTTGTTTTCCATGCATTTGCATTTGTCAGTTTTGTATCTATTTATCAATGAGAGTAGAGGACAAAGTCTGGTTCAAGTGACAACATCGCGAGCATATAAAATGGCTACCAAGAAACTAAAATTGGACTTTCTTTACAATATTTTGAGTGTAATTGATGTCGGTGGGATCCTGGTTTCCCTCAGGTCAGGAGGCGAAAACCCTTTCTCGAACAACCGTGGAGGTCCGACGCGTGTATTGTGCACGGGCCCTCCTTCTTGCGGATAGGTGCCGACGGTGAGAGAGATTTTGCAACTGGAGCGTGGATGCTCTTTATGCTGCTCGGGGGGGTTCGGGGACACGCCCAACCGGATAGCCCTCTTAGAGCAATTACGAAGCCCTCCAGTTGCTTGTCAGCACGGTTTGGATGGGGGGTCTCTTCAAGCTCACAACCTCTCTCTTCTCTCTCTAAGATATTGGAATGGGATTCGAAAGTCCCTCCTCCTTGGTTGCCCTCACGAGGGGACTAGCTGGCCGCTAAAGGAGGCGTGAGGAAACCCGAAGGTCGAGGCCCATAGGTTTGCTCACGTCTGCGGGCATGCGGGGGGACGCGGACTGTCAAGCAAAGGAGGTCGCGAGTGAAGGTGAGAGAGAGAGAGAGAGAGAGAGAGAGAGAAGGAGTGACTCGGCTCAGGAGAGAGGGAAGATGACCCACGTGGCCGGGGTGCTCGTGGGACCGCGCACTCAAGGGTATCTTCTCTCTCTCAAAGGTTTCTTTCTCCCTCCCTCCTCTCCCGCAGCAAGCGCAATCTAACCTTAATTATTCCCAGCCTTGGGGGCTATTGGAGCTTGAAAAGGAGGCCTTTTTACAATGGGTTGCTCAAGGTCTTGAAAGGGTCGAAAGGTCTCAAGGTCTAGCCCTTTTTCAAGTGGGTTAAGCTTGCTTATATAAAGGATTCACTAAACAAGGGTGAACACTCAAATGCCAAGCTTAATTACAATTTAAGAAATTAGAAATAAATCCTAAAATTAGGCACAAATGACCAAAATGTCATTGAGATCTTTTGCACGAGTGATGAAACCATCCCTGCATGCAGGTTGTTCCGCCATGACGAGACCTTAGAAGCTTGTTCTGCAACTTGTGGCAATGGTTTAGCTGTTTCAGCAACATATCTTCAATGTCCTCTCGATTGTGAGCATTTTCATGCCTTTGAATCGTGTTGTGGTGGCTTTTTTCGTTGGAGTGAAAGTCCAACCAAATTTGTGAACTTTGTTAGCCAATGCTTCTTCGAGCTGCACTGTTCTAATTCTTGGCTCTGCTTGCAAGTCAGAGAGGAGGTTGTCACAATTGTTTTGCACCAAGTTTGGGCTGATTTAGTCTTGGTTTGTGAATTTGCCAAATTTGGGAGGTTACCGAAAAAAGGGATTCTGGCAACCGACAGGATTTACTTCTCAAGTGACATGAGGACATGCATTCATCGAACGTTGGATTAAATGCAAGAGTAGTACCAGTGTATAGCTCTCTACAAGGTGGTTGCATTGAACTCTCCTTCGCGGTGATCCAAGATTTGGATGTCAAGCTATGCTTCACGGAATCCGAGGCTTCTTCTCCTTGAACCCCGGTTCTCCCTTTGGTTCTGCGAGCACCTTCTTCCTCGGAGCAATGTAGTTCTCGATCACGCCATAGTGTGAGCCATAGCTCAAAATGACAGGCTAGCGTGATCTAGAACATATCGAATTTTGGACTCTTTCCAGTTTCAGAGGAAGGTGCCATGGGTTGGCGCAGCTGCTGCTAAAAAACATTGTCGCAGTCCCCATTTCTAGGGATTTGTTTGGTGAAGCCGCATTGTCACGACCCCGCACCCTAGCCCCTGCCAGAGGGCGACAGAGCGCAGGATCACGACCG